ATATTGACGGGATTGCCGAAGATCCTTTGTATCTACTAGGAGTTACTCGTATTTGGTTCATGCAGAAGCAGCAACTAAATCGGCCCCCAAAAAACCCCCCCCCCAACGTTACCGTCGTTCCAAGAAGATGCCGCGCTGTGGCTCTGGCGTGCCTGGCTTGCCTGGCCGGGGCCTCCGATAATTAATAATTTGGTAATGTATCGTCTGGTAAGGAACGTTGCTGCGCATCTACCTAGCCCAGGAATGGTGCCTACAAGTATACTTACTGTGCAGAGTACCTGTAAGTATACTATTGGGATTATTATTATCGAGTAATTAGTTTCATGGTGTGGTCGACTCTGTCTTGCTCGCGTAGACGGACCTGGTAGGCATAAGTTGTATGATCTTGTATCGCATACACACCTGGTCTTCGATTAGTTTGTAGGTGCTCCGGACGCGATTAGGTATATCGAACGAGTAGACGCTCCCCGGTATCTGACCTAGCCTTGCTCGCTCTCCAACCCTATCCAACAAAAAGAGACCCTTGCATTTCTATGTAGGGTCTTGTCGCATCTCGCTTGTCTCGCCTGTCACTTGTCTCAATCTCATATTCGTCCGCACAAAAGCCTCCTGATATGTTTGTATGTATCTCCGTCTGTGATGTATGCATTGGCTGCACATGCACAGCGTTAGTCAGGGCGGGGTTCGTCCCTCCTTGCCCTGCCTTTGGGAAACGTGGGAACATGGAGCATGGGAACACGAACCAGGGGGGGGGCTTTTTTGCGCTTCACCGGCTCTTTCGAGTGGATTTCAGCTTTTTGCCCATCCTCACTGGTCCAGCACGAAGCCTTGTGCGGTCGCGGTCGGTGCGGCGGTGCAGCAGCGGTGCAGTGGTGATCGTGTGTCCCTGTGAGGATGAGGCATGAGGCATTTACACACTCTTCCACGCACACACCTTTCTCTGACGTATCATGACTCTTCCATTTCTCAACTTGCCTGTGCAAGTGCAGGTGCAAGTTCAAAGTACGTTCGTCCCAAAAGGGTAGGCGGCTCTTCTTTCTTCCTCGTTTCATTTCGTTTCGTTTCCACGGCCATTTGGCGGAGATAAGGAAGGCAAGGGGATTTGTTCGCACATACTACTAGGAGGCACTAAGCAGTGGTGTCTCCAGTACCTCCAGTACGAGGTCATTGTGATGCTCTGGTCGTGTTTTAGTGCGTATCCAGAATCCAAATGCTACCCTCTTCCACTCCGGAAAAGAGTATTCGATCTACTTACGCTCGTAGGTTGGTGGCCGTCGTTATTCTTCGTAAACTCCGCTGAAAATGACAAGTAACCTCGTGGGCCCGTACATACAAAGGGGTGAGTTAGTCGGACGCATATCCCGCTCTTGCATTGCCTTGCCCGCGTATACCTAACTTGTATGGCCGGCGATAAACTCGGTAGGGCTGCCCACGCCAAACCGGAACATCGTGCGAGTTTGGCTTTTCGCGGAGTGAGAAATTACTCTTTCTGGTAAATACCAGCGAGCCCGCGAGCGAACAAACGAACCAACGAACGAGAGAGCGAGCGCGCCCCCTTCTTTCGGTAGTACCTACTCGTACTACTACTCGTAGATCCCTTAGCACCAGACCTGAGGTACCTTAGGTAGTAGTATTGGGTACTGTACCATACGACGGCGACACAGCGGCACCAGAGGCTGAAAGGCTGAAAGAGCAAAGACCCGCTGCGGATTGTAACGTCGAGTCAAGTCAAGCCCCAGTATAGTTTGGTAGCTAGGTAGGTATGAAGGTAGTGCTTCTCTGCCTGCTTGCCCACTTCTCACTATTCAATTCAAAGGGTCCATTTCGAGTGACGAGTACTCAATGGTCATGTCGAGTACACCACTGCTCAGACGAAAAATGGCGGATATGTCCTTTTGCTCTGCACGTTGCGAGCCAGTGGAGATGATGATGACCTTACTCAGCCACGGAGCCGCACCTTTGATTAACGACAGCTGCCAAAGGGCTCTGAACACTCCCCCATTGGCAAGTGGGATCCGACACAGTCTCCCCTTGTGCACTTGCCCGTGACAAGACGATGTGATAATCCCGTCACGGCTGCAAGGGCCGCAGGACTTGTTGGGTGGTCACTGGTCACCAGGGTAAAGGGTAAAGGGTAAAGGGCAAAGGGGCGATCATGGCGAGAACTGTTTGTGACCCGCCCGCTGACTAGACCTGTAAGTGCTTGGAGCTATGGAACATGGACCCGATGGACAACAAGGTGATCGCTCTGGACGAACGCTCCACGAAGCTTCGAGGCGAGAAGAACGAAATACGGTGTGTTCAAGTCCATGTCTCTCCATCTCGTTTGCCCCTTCCTCAAAATCCAGTGGACCATCCATCGTGGCCATTATTCTCCATCTCTTCTCCCATTTCCTGATACAGCGGCAGTGGTGGCGACTTGGGCATCTTTCTGGTGGCTGCTTGCGTTGCCCGCCACAGTTGACAGCATCCTTGCGGGTTTTGTGCTCGAGACCGCAACCGCGACGATGGACAGGACGCGCACGTGGAAATCCCCGTGCTGGGCTCCAAAGAAACTGTACAAAAACCAGTCAGCTCTGACGAATCAATCCACCGCAACCAACCATCAAACCTCCTGATCATGATGCTGACCCTCCTGATGTTGCTCAGGTCCAGACTCTTGGGTGTGTTGACCAGCTTGCCACGGTATGTGGGTTTAAAGTGGTCCCATGGCACAAAGACAGACTGGTAAGACGAGGTCGTGGTGGTGGTAGAGCTGTCGATCTGGGGGAAGGGTCGGCACTTGGATTTGGAAAAGTCATACTCCCAAGATACCGTTGCCTGTTCACGGCCGTCGGATGCGTTGGGAGGAAGAAGCTCGTCCTTGAGGATCAGCGTGTAGACATTGTCGTCGGACTGTGATAGATCGATCGAGACCTCGATACCTGCGAAGGATTCCAGGTTCCAGTGTTGATCTTCGCCCATAGTCCGCTGGGAGGCAAAGCCTGCCCCGCCCAGAGCAGTGATATCGAGCGTACCGTGGAAATAGGCGGCCGTACCACGGCTTTCCAGGAAGGACTGTCGGAAGAAGAATCACCCCATATGAGCTTTGCGCACTTCTACTTCCGACGCCGCCTCCAGCCACCTCACCTCACCTCACAGTGTCCTCATACTTGTAGACATGGACGACCGCAAGGCAAAAGTGCAACGGCGGCGATCTTGACCCCCAAAAGCAACCAGAAAGGCCATAATAGGTAGTCGGACGACTTGGACACATACCTGTGATTTACCGCCTCGAACCCTATCGTCGCTCGAGGTCCATTGATGGAGACGCCAGCCCCTAAAGTCCCGAGGGAGGCCCTCAACGGCCATAGAATTAGCAATGACTCCGTTTCCGAATTAGGCACATGGACACTTGGTTGGAGCCACGCCACGCCACAGGGCCAAAAAAAAGGTGGCTCTGGATGGTGCTTCGGCCGTGGTCCAAAATAACAACTTTGCTTACATATTCAACCCGAAAAGCACTTGACGCGGGCTTAGCGGTTCCCATGAATCCATCATGGCGATTTGTCCAGAGATGCAGCCCGGCACATGGGGATGCGAAGGATTCAGAGACACACAGAAGAGAGAGAAAGAGGACAAGAGAAAAAAAGGGTCCTTTGCTTCCTTCCTTCTCCTTTTGCCCCCGCCCCTGCTGCCCTACGTGCCCTGGTCACAATTTCAATTCTAGACCTTTGCGCACCAAACAGGAGCGCCTGCGTGGTGTTGTTTGGACTGGACTGGTCTGGTCCTTGTTGGATTGTTTCCCTCTTCTTTCTTTCTCCCAGGGGCGGCAATCGGGATGCAGGAAGGATTCTGAATTGCCCCCCCAAAATAGGGAGAAAGGGGGGAGATTTCGAAGGACCTCAACCACATCCGTCCCGTTGTCCCTACAATGTACTCGGCATCGAGGGGTTTAATCAAACTCTCTTTTTTGGTGTGTCGGAAAACGTGCGCAAAGGCCGTAAAAAAAGACGCAAAGGATAAATAGATACACCGGCACCAGATTGTGGCCGAAAGGGATCGAGTTTGGCTTGAGATGAGGAATCGGCGACTGAATGTGTCCCTCGTTTGTGTATGTGTACCGTGTATGTGTGTATTCTCTCCCTCCTCTTCCCCCTCTAGAGCCCGAGGTCTGTGGTTTCCCTTGGTATCGTATCCAGTGTTCAAGCGCAGGTGGCTAAACCTCATGGAGCAATGGCGCACAGAGATGCGGCTGGTAGTTTCGTCTTGTTGTAGCTTGCGGCGTCCTGCTGTGACCTGACAGGTTGCCCTATTGACTTGCCCTATTCAGCTTGCAGGGCTGAATGCAAGGCCCGTTGCGTGCATCGTATTCCCGCGTGGCATCCTGGGCGTGGTGGGTGTCTCTTCCTTCAGCTTCTTGATCTCCAGGATAGAGTCACATTTGGAATGGGCAGAACAGGAATGAAATTAACCAGAAAGGGCCGACCAGGTGAATGATAGTCACCGATACATTTCAGAACTGAAAAAGTGTTTGAATTCCCGATCGGGTTGCTGAACCCCCTGTCGATTTCGGGGACTATACGAGGTACTTTCTCGACATACCATTCCACCCCTGTTTGCTCTTGTACCTCTGCTGTTATGGCTACATTGATGTGGCATCCAGAACACCCCCCTACCCACCCCTCCCACCAGCTGGCTTTGGCAGCTTCCGTGGTATCACACCAATTCCTCCCCACCCCCTCCCACCCCCTTTGCCTGCCCATCGAAGGGCTTCCATATGAGTCTAAATACCTTTTCTCGGTAAACTGGGCGTTGAGCCAGGTGAATCATAACACAGTCCGTGGCAAGAAATGCAAAATGGTCGCTCTCCACCCATAATCGTGCGCCATTCAAAAGCAAATAGCAGCTGTCGTAGAAGCCGTCGTGCCAATTATTTGGCGCCTGTCGTGGTGCCCGTATGGACGGCAATGAGCGGTTGATGCTTGCCAAATCACAAAATAACAAAATGAAGCATGCCCTCATTTGCAGCTGATGTCAAACAATTGAAAGTTGGGGCTCGCCGTCCTTGACACAGGCGTGAGCGGGACATCAAAGTAGTTGGGCGAGTTGTGGGCCGAATCCATCGAGTATGGATCAGTCAGAGGTGGTGTCTAGCCAGAGGAAGTCAGCATTTGAGCTGGGCACTTTGGTAATTTGAAAGCCGGTGATTTTCTTTTGGAATTGAGCCGCCTTTTCTCTTTCTTTGTGCTGCTCAGACGTGTGGGCTGGAATATGAACGGGAGAAGAAAGTGGTGGGATTTACATGAGAATGAGCCCCCGAGTATGCTTGATTTGAGGGCATTTCCAGACCGGCCAGCGAGGCATAGTTCATGCTGAAGGGACTCAACATGTCGTCGTCTCCAAACAGCTGATCCTGCTTGCCAAACGTCGAGGGCAGCATGGCGGGTAACGTCGGCGGCAGACTCGACGATGGCACATCTAATTGGTATTGGTAATTCGAGTAGTAGCTGGCCGTGTTGTCATACGTGGGGTGTTGTTGGTGCTCATAGTGGAGGTATGCTGTGGTCGGAGGGTATGACGAGAAGGTAAATGCCGGTTGCGAATGGATCGATAGATGGCGTCCAGCCGCAGTGTCAAAAAGTGATGAATGGTCATCCAAAGGTAAAATCTCTGGCGACGCTCTCGGGACCTCGTGTGACACACTTGATCTGGATGGCTGGCGGACCATGGATTGAGTTTGTTTCTGGGAAGTCTCCTTGGCTGGAGTGGTAACTAGTTCCGAATGCTGTTGTTCCGGCGAAGCAGACGATGACCCAGCGCGGCGCTCTAGATCTTCGAGTCTCCTCTTGAGCTTCTTACGATAGTTTCGCTGTATGGTGTGTTAGGGATATTGAACAAGACCGTCCATCGGTAAAAAAAAAAGGGTGATGTTATTTACCTGAGCGATCCGGTTCTGGATGCGTCTTCTCTCAGCCAGGTCGGAGATCTTGGTCCAATCCTCATTCGGGTTCGCAGATGCGCTGAAGGCAGAGCTGCTGGCGTGAGTTGATGCATATCTGGAGTGGCCGGCCATTGTGGCTTGGGAGTGGGTGTAGGAGTAGCTGTGACTCCGGTGCATGATGGGTGAGGGGGGATATGTGTGGGTATGTGTGGGTGTGTGTGTATGTGTAGGCAGAAAGCACAGCGACCAAGCTTGTGTTGGAGCAAAGTGATGGGATCGAGTCTTGTTTGAGATTGATATTGGGCAAGAAGAAGGAAGATCTAGACGAAAGGCGAGGGCATGTTCAAGGTCTTAATAGTTTCTTTTGTGATCAGGGAAACTAGTCAATCATATGTATGGCCAGGACGCTGGGTGCATGGGACGCCCCAAAACCCATGTCCCTCGATATATAACATAAATTACCGCTTTGCCTGAATGGAGGATAGTGGGTGGCAGCAGGGGGATCGAGGGCACAAGGACTGCTCAAGGACACAAAAGTTCAACCGGGGGTACGTGCGTTCCAACTCCACTCTCGAAGGCGTTGGAGCCACATGTTGCTGTGCTGCTGTCCAAGTTAGAGTGCGATCAAATGCCTTGCTCCCTTTGTGCCTACCTACTACACTTAGTGTGGTGTCCAACCCATGACAATTCCAGGCCCGCCCACCAAGCCCTGGCCCTGCGAGGCGGCGACGCGGGAACGACAGGGGGGGCGTTTGGGAGGAGATGGAAGTGCGAACAAAGAGCCAGGGATGTTTGACCGCCCCGGGAAGTGACAGGGATGCTACGGTGGTCCTGACCAGGGTGTGGATAGCGCGGCCCACGCTGGTGGAAGAGGAGAGGGAGAGCGAGAAGTGGGCGAGGTGGACAGGGCTGTGGACGAACGAGGAGGCGGGACGAGACGGAAATAGTGATGGAAGGATGAATTTTGGGAAGAAGCAGAGAGGTGCAACGTCGTAGCTGCTGCGCCCCTGCAACCTACCTAACCATATGAGGGTTAGCTCCTTGCTGCTCTGAATAGCGAAAGTCGGTCTGCACTGAGGCAGCGAGCGGCCACTCTGTCGCTCCCGACACTGTCCGCCCGCCTTTGTTTGGGTGGCAGGTGGCCAGTGGCCAGTGCCCGGGAACCAGTAGGCGGTACCTATTCGTACCTACCTAGTGGGCACTAGGCATTGAGTTCACTTGGGGCACTTACGAGTTAGCTAGGCCGTCTCTCCTCCCTTCTCCCTCTGCCACCCCTGTCCCTTATACCACTCTCCTAGCCCACCAGACTT